TCGTTTAATCGCAGCTCTACATTCGATAGGGAAAGAATCTAGTGGTTCCGGCTCAGGCTCAGGCTCAGTGTCGTTCACACGACGTTTACTTTTGGCTTTTCAAGATGGGGATGTCATTGCATTCAAAACTACTAAGGAAATTGAAGGACCATATTGTGAATTTGTTGAGAATAAGTTCAAGAAACCGGTCATTTTAGCCGGACCAATATTGCCAGAACCAATAGATACTTCAAATCTAGAGGAAAATTTGTCTAAGTGGCTAGAAAAATTCCAAGAAAAGACTGTGATTTTTTGTGCATTTGGTAGTGAATGCAAGCTCAAGAAAGAACAATTCCAAGAACTTGTTTTAGGTCTAGAACTTACTGGTCTTCCATTTTTTGCTGCCTTAAAACCGCCTTTTGAAGCCGAGACAATTGAAGATGCATTACCAGAAGGTTTTAAGGAGAGAATAGAAGGAAAAGGGATTGTTCATTCAGGTTGGGCAGAGCAACAGCTGATCTTATCACACCCTTCTGTGGGATGTTTTGTTACTCATTGTGGTGGAAATTCTTTATCAGAGGCTATGATTACTGAGGGTCAATTGGTTTTAGTCCCAAATTTTGGTGATCAATTCGTTAATGCAAGGTTGTTTGTTGGAGATTTGAGAGTTGGAGTTGAAGTTGAGAGAGATGAAGAGAATGGATTGTTTACTAGAGAAAGTGTTTGTAAGGCCATAAAAATGGTAATGAATGATGAGAGTGAAGAGGGAAGGGAGATAAGAGCGAATCGCGCAAAGTGGAGGGAGTTTTTATTAAGCAAAGGGCTTGAGGATTCTTATATTGATGCTTTTGTTCAAAAGCTACAAACTCTTCTTTGATTTTTGCTTGGAGCATCAATGGGCAGCATGGTGCACCAAGTTCTTGTATGTGCAGGGTCCGAGAAAGGATCAGACTACATTGGATCGTGTGTACACAACTTTACATTGCATTTCTGCAAGAGACTGTTTCTGTTTGGAGTATCAATACACTAACTAAATAAAAATCTTCATAGGGAAGGATATGATATTTTGTTTTCATTAATGAGTTAATTAGGTTGTTTGCTTTTGTTACTTTAAGCTTTAGTTGTGCTTATTTGTCTTCTCTACTACTAATAGAGCTATTTAATACAGTCTCCGGACTCATTTCTTGAGTGATGATATTTTTTAAATGGCGGATTCAGGATTTAAAGGTGGCGGGTTGTCTCATATTGACTTTAATATACATCTTTTACTAATGATAGAGTATGAGTAGAAGGGTGTATTTGGTTCGGCCTTTTTGGATTAACTCGATTTGTTTTAATCAGTTCTGATCCTTAGATATGGAATCACATCTCTTCTATCAATAAGATATGTCATCTCTGGTAAATAGCATAATTGGATCAAATTCAAACTAAATAAACTATAGTTAAATGTAGATTGTAGAACTAGTAAATCAGAAGTCTAAACAAAAAACTAAGAAAATTCATGTCATCTCTGTGCTGAGTGCCAATTTTGATTTCATTTCAAAGTTTGCAGCGAGCATAAAAGACGAAAACTCACAACATAGCTAAGAGATAAGACTTTTATGCATGAGATTTTGAGTGTTTTAAGGTTTTTTTTCTTTGTATTTTTTTTTGGCTCCATAACCATCGCAAATTTTTGTTTTAAAGGGAAAGATGGAAGCTCTCATATAAAAAATCTTGGAATTGAACTAGTTAGAATCAAGAATTATATTCTAGTGATATCAGTAAAAGTTTATTGAATTTACTTATCATAATTTATAGTTAATGGTACCGTTAACAGTATGTTAAAACTACTTGTTTACCAAAATTATATTTTAGTGATATCAGTAAAAGTCTTCCCTATAACAAGTATGAGTTCAATTCTCATTATCTTCTATTCTCTTACCAATTATCCCAAATTTAAATATTAGGGTCCGATTATATTTAAATTATGTATAAATAAGTAATTATCGCTGCACCGCAATTCTTGGTGAAGATACTCCAAAAGAAAAGAAATAGAGATGCTAAAAACGTGGCAAGCGCTCACACGGATTCTCACAGAAGCTAAAGTAGTAGAACAACATTTTGCTTTCATCAGTACGGAAAACTTGTATCTCGGCTTCCTTCAACTTCCGCTTCTGCCCTCGAACATGACCGACCATCAAAACCCTAAACCTACCGGCAACCTCCCTCAAACGCCGTCAACAAATCCGCCTAAAATCTCCGGCGGATCCTCTAACGGCGGATTTTCCGGCGGTCACAACTACCCAAACCCGCCGGACCGTTCAAATCCGGACCCTGCAACACTGAGAGAGCAATGGAGGTTCGCTATTAGGCAGTACAGCAAATGGTATTCTCACGCTTGGGGTACTGCTATATTAGCTGGGTTATCTTTTTACGCACTTGGTTGGATTATTAAGGGCTCCAATCCTTTGCCCTCTTTCAAGCGCGAAGACTTGGATACTAAAAATGCTTCTTCATCTGATGTTGTTGCTGATGTTGCGGAGGTTAAGCGAAGTTGATGATGACGATAATTTGTTTTTAGGTTAGTCTTACAAACTTGCATTTCTCGCAGTTTTTGTTCTTATTACATGTTGTTGTCGGTCAAATTAACCTGTCACTGGAAAAATCAATACATTGTGAGTGCACAGATTTATATTCACTAACAGTGTAAAAACTGTTTACACCGTTAGTACAAATCTAACTAGTTATAGTAGGTTATGTTGTCAATTCACAAAAGTTAAAACTCTTTTCTTATAACACCGTGTTACATGTGAAGATTATTGCAATAGAATAACTTTGCTTAAGTTCGTGTATTGTGCGTGTTATATTAAATAACAATAACTGTCTGCGAATACCGAACTAGTTGGGGTCAGTTATATGGGTTCAAAATTTTAGGATAGCGTCCAATGCTAATAATTGGGTTTGAAATTTAACATTTGTTCATATTTAGTGGATTTCTTAACTCATATAGGGTCTAGGCAAAAGCTACTGGGCTCAACCAATCCCATATCTTACACTGTGGACCCCCCCAAGACTTGGCTGCAAACCTCTTACTTTATCGAGAGTTTGGACTTGTTATGCTTTTGTGAATATAAGTGAAGTTGTGCGGTTAATGGTCCTTATTGGGATAAGGAAGGTGCAATGCCACTTTTGGTATATGCGTAGTTCTTGTGACGAAGGGGATGGAAAATAAATGATACTGCTGAAGCTCACTTGTTATAATTTTGAGGTTTTGTTGCTTATGTGGATCCTAGCCATGCTTGATGATTTTCTATTCTTCAATTTAAATTTGTAGGCTTGGCGGTCCGTCTCATTTTATTTTGGGGTGGGGGTGTTTCTGGATTACCATTTGGTCCTTGACGAATGGATAGAAGCTTCTGCGGGAATTCCAAAGGATTGTTTCCATGTTTTCTTATTTATCTTAAAATAAGGGGGACATCGTAAATATGGCTTAACAACTTCAATTAGGCGCTTAGAACAAACTTTACAATTCGAAAGGTTACAAAAATATGTCACCCTTGTGCAACTCTTCATCCGAGATACTCAGGGGTTGTTTGGTTACCAGGTGGGATAGACAAGGATATTCTATGGATTAGCTATCCCACCTTCTATATAGGATAGTTAATCCCAGCATTTTGGTATAAATTTATCCCACCACTATCTAATACCATAACCAAACATGGGATAAATACAATTCATATGCTATCGAATCTACCCCGGGATTAGTATCCTTATCCTGGTAACCAAGCAACCCCTCAGTGAACATCATTGATTCTGTAAGCGGATTTGACAGTCTAGAGCATCCATGATATCCTTATCCACTTGCTGAACAATCTTATAGTTTCATTTCCTTTGTTAAGCTAATATTGGAAATTTATCCATTTGTGCTTTTCTTTTTTACCTATCCTATCCTGCTGAAGACAAAACGTAGCCCTCTTTGCTCTTTGTATATGTGAAGGAGCAAATAAGCATGCAGAGTTTATCTTTTTCCCCTGATCTCTTTATTCATATGTAATGCAGAGATCCTAGCTGCCAATAAACGAAGCATGTCTAGACAAGTGTCTGTAGAGTTCTGGATGCATTGCCTAATGCCTCTTGATTTTTCAGTTGGGCTGCGGCAAGTGACTAATAATGGCAAGAACCAAGAAGCATTTTATATGAAAGCTTTTAAAAAGATTTTGTCCTGGCTCTCTCAGAATTCCATTTCCATTACAGCCTCTTGTTATGTTTGTATTACGTTAAACACTGTTTTTAGGTTTGATCATTTAGATAAGCAGCAGCGCATATAAATTCTACTAATCCCCTAAATGTTGATTTATATCTTGTTTGTGAAATACCCTTCAAAGTGCTAATGGTTTTAGTCCTGTACGGACCACCTTGCCCTGGACTACTTTTTTTTCTTGGTCGACTACAAGTTTCATGCTTTCCCCAAAGAGAAGGTGTGATCTCATTACCGCATGAGATAGTTAACATCACCATTCTTTGTCTACAAATCTCTCCTAGCTACTCAGCTCTCTACTGTGGTTGCTCACACCACATGTTATGTTCTAGCATGAACTTACATATTACATCCTGACTTCACTTCCCATATGAGCCTGCTATTTCTTAAATCTTCTAATAAAAGCTGCATTGCAGAAAAGATAACAAGCTGAGGAGTTATTTCTTTTCCTTGTCTTTTAAGCTGGGTGTTTAATGTGTTCGACTTGTCAATTTTGAATTAGAGTAGTTCCTATGAAGGGACCGAAAAAGAATTAGCAAATTAAGAGCTCTCTTGATTCATGTCTCCCAAAAGGAGTGGATTAGTAGCCCAAAAAAAGAGAAGAAAATGGACTATATAGATTGTCTTCAATTGACAAAGTTTGTCAAAGGCAGCCTTCTCTAGCCCTACTTTGACATTACCTGAATCCTGTTATAGCCAAGTTGTTGTAGAGCAGTTTTTGAGGGGTGTTGGCTACAAGCTGAAGCTGCAGTACTGGTAATAGGATTTTGAAAGACTAGAATTGTATGTTTGCTTTTACCATGAATGTGTTGTCTCCAACAACAACAACAACAACAACAACAAAAAACCCAGTGTAATCTCACAAGTGGGGTCTTGGGAGGGTAGTGTGTGCACAGACCTTACCCCCACCTTGAAGGTAGAGAGGTTGTTTCCGATAGACCCTCGACTCACGAAAGACGAGAAGAAAAGCAATAGCACCAAGCAATAACAACAAGATAGTAAGGAAACGAAACGAAAGAAACAACAAGTAATTCTAAAAAAATCTAACAGTAATGGAATGTGTTGTCTCAATGTATGGTTCAAATTAACTGATGGTTTTTGTTATTAAATCATTGTGATATTTCATGAATAAGGATACGCAGAAAAGGATAATGAAGAAAATTCATGAATCGAAGATCATATAATAGTGTCTTCTGTCATTAATTTACCATTCTCTTAAAATTTTGAGGGAGGGGCAAGAAGATGGTGAATGAGCTTCCGCTGTTGGGATGATGCAATTCTATGTTTTTTCTTAGTTTTGTTCGGTTGTTTATCCAAAGTAGGTTGTTGCACCAAAATTTACTTATCGTTTCTCTATATTTGTCTTTTGGATGGCACAGGTCTGTAGTGTCACTCTCCTCACTTGATCAAATAAGGTACCCATGGACCGCTGAAGTCTCTCTTGCCCCTCCCAACGCCCTTCCCTCTGGCTTCTTGAACTTATGTTTCTGCAAGCTCTATGTAGATGTAAGCGCAATCACTCCCAACACGTGATTTGTAAATTCAGTGCACCACTTCCAGAAAAGAAACAAAATTTTATTAGGATGTGGCATACCAGACCAATATCTGCTGGTCACCTGCTGAGAGTCAAAGCAAGTTCCAAGCGTGTTTCTTTTTCTTCAACCTTCGTGTCCAATGAAACAAGAAAAGCAATAGTAAGCTGAGATGTTTTCGTTAAAAAGAGTTTTGATGCATATTTCCTGTACAGTAGACGTGCATATCAATAACACTCTTAATTTTTGAGTTATTGTCAGTTGACGTTCTGTAGTAGTGATAAAGTTGCCTTTACCATTTTCGCTGCTGAAATATCTGTAATGCCAGTGTACACTTATGAAAAGACAAAACAAAATGGTTCTTAAGCAAAATTTACTTGCATCCCCATTCCTCNTGCTATACAAATTTTGTACAGGAAGCTGAAACTCTCAGCAGCCTTGCATATTCTGCAGTTTCAAAATTATAGCTGCATTCTGAGAAATGTAGTAGTGAGTGGTTTGATCCTTGCTCAACCTGAACAACATCCGCCCTTCTTAACAGCAGATACATCGTTTCCAATATTGATTGTTTGTCCTGCAGGCAGAGATGCTGGGTCGTCTCCTGCATCGAGAGCCTTCTTGCTGACCACCCGGTAAATCTGAGTCAGCACTTCTGTGAAGGCGTTTTCAACGTTCAGTGCCTCAAGAGCAGATGTTTCCATGAAGAAAGTACGTTCCCTTTCAGCAAAACCCTTAGAGTCCTCAGTGGGAACAGCACGTAGGTGGCGTAGATCCGCCTTGTTCCCGACTAGCATGACGACGATGTTCTGGTCTGTATGATCTCTGAGTTCCTTGAGCCATCTTGCTACGTTCTCAAATGTTACATTGCGAGTAATATCATAAACAAGTAAAGCACCAACTGCTCCTCTATAATAAGCACTTGTGATGGCTCGGTACCTAGATTGATTGCCGAAGGGTGTTTAGAAACAATCTCCTGGCATTAATAGGTGATAAAAAAGGCAGCACATTCAAAAGGGGCAAGTGCACATATAGTAATTCTCAACAATGCTATTTAGAGATTATCCAATATTTTATTTTGTCTTGAAATTTTGAATTAAATTTTTTGATTTTAGAACAATTTAGGACAAAAATGTTCTGAAAAAAATAAATTGCAAAATTAAAATTCAGAATGCAACTAACTAATTTTTAAAAAGAAGCCCTTTGGAGTGGCTACCTCTAAAGATAATAAATCAAACGAAAGTGGGCAAACGATGGATATTTTTGTGTTGGATCTTTCATCTTCTTTTCATTTCCTGGCCATTTCTGTTGGTGGGGAGTGATGTAAAATTGTTGGGAGTGTAACCCATCAAGAAATTATATTTTTTAACATTTATGAAATGACAGCAAAATCATAACTTGAAGTATAGCTTCCAACGTCAGATGTTTTGACATTGTTGCTTTCAGAATATTTCTATATCAAATATCCTAATGTAATTCTAGAAACCAACATATTTTCTCAAACATAAATTTCCCTCGAACGCATCAATGCATCTTTAGAAAAACAAACTTCCATGTGACTCCCATCTTTAATACTAGTTGAGATTTGGGATAATACAAATCATATCAATTGGATGGTACGATTAATGAATAGTATGAAAAAAGAGTTGATAGGAAAATCTGGGAAATGAACTGAACTCTTGGTTTGGAAATATATAAATAAGAAAAAGGGCAACGTGTGCATGCAATAGGAAATTGAGATTGAGTTAAGTCTAATATGGTGTGATGAAAGGAAAAAAGGCATGGGTACCTTTCTTGGCCGGCAGTGTCCCAAATCTGGGCTTTGATAATCTTGTCATCGACATGAATGGTTCGGGTGGCAAACTCGACACCAATGGTGGACTTAGATTGTTGGCTGAATTCGTTTTTAGTAAAGCGAGAAAGCAAGTTGGATTTGCCAACACCAGAATCCCCAATGAGTACCACCTTGAACAGGTAATCGTAATCCTCCTCTGATCTGTATGTTCCCATGTTTGTCTATCTTCCAATGGCGTTGGCTTTCTTCCTTTGGACTAGGGATGAGAGAGAAAGAAAGAGAGAGGAAAGGAGATTGAATATTAATTCATTGATTAATTTACCTTCTAACGAACAAACATATTTACCTGCGTTTATCTCGGAAGGTTGGTGCATGTGGGAATGAGAAGCTGAGAAACAAAGGGTAAAAAGAAATGTTGGATTTTCAGTATTGTGCGTGGTTGCCATTGTATCATCTATATATATCTCTAAGGTGTAGGGGTACAAATAAGTTGAATGAAAGGCTGATTTAGAACCAGCCCGAGTAATTTAAAAATATTAGATTTTTACAGTTCTATTGGTGACCCATACAAAAAAAGCTGACCGCTTTCACTTTGATTAGCCAATTTAGTGCGGAGGGTGTTGTGCTCCTCTCATTTGTTTCCGTTAACGACCACAAAGCTCAACATTGCTCGTGCTATCCCAAGATTATAATAATCTCACCTTCTCTATACCATATATAATATTAAGATTTTGGTATCAATTTTGCATCGATATTAGCTAATATTAACAATCAAATCACGGATAAAATGTAATTTCGAATTTAATATCAAAATTAGTATCCTAAATTCATAATCCTAGTAACCAACGACCCCTGCCACCATGCATGCGTCCCCAGCCTGTTCTGAGAAAGGATATAAAGGTCATTCTGCCTAGTTTGAAACTGTTGTGGTTGACTAGCTGCATTTCATTTTCTTTTCTAATAAACAAAGAAAAATTAAAGTAGTAAAAAAAGAATTTAAGTAGTATTCCCTCCGTCTCAATTTAAATGACGTATTCCCTTATCGTGAGTCAAACCGTGTAAGATAAATTACAACATATAGTACTTTTTGTATAGTTTCTGAATATTTAAATTTTAATTTAGAATATTTAGTTAAACTACTCCAATTTAGCTTTAAAGTTTGGTCAAATTAATTTGGACAAGGTTCCAATTTCTTCTTGGTTTAGGAATAGGATTAATTCTTTACCGCCATAAGTAATGAATTAATTCCTAGTCGGACTAGGTTTCGATTTCTTCTTGGTTTAGGAATCCATGCTTCTATTTAAAGGGGAGATTAACAAGGCAGATGCATACGCACCTCACAGCTCACAATGAAGAAGATGAATAAAACTGCTACTCCTATCAAGAAAGAACTCCGTTATACAACAACAACGGCCTAGTGTAATCACATAAGTGAGGTCTGGGGAAGGTAATATGTACGCAGACCTTACCCCTATCCCGAGGGGCAGATAGGTTGTTTCCAGGAGACAGCATTACTCGGCTACCTGTCAAGGACTTGGACAAATTCAAGTGCGTATCGAAATCTTGGTCTTCAATGATCCGTCGCTCTGAATTCATGAAAGCTCGTAAGCCTTGCGGCGGTATATTCATCCATGTCATGCCCCGTCAAGTGTCCCTGCCCGGGCAACGACATCCCATATCAAATGAAAGCCCTTCATTATGCGTCCTTAAAAGGGAAGAATGAAGTGTTTGCTCATCGGGTAAGTTTCCCTTATTTTGGCTATAAGGATATTACTCCAATTATAAACGGGCTTGCTTGCCTTTACGGGCGATCAAGTTTCACTTTTTAATATATCTACTCGTGAACTTACGAGGCTTCCCTCTTCAAGTTTATGCGGTGAAGGGCGTAGTGTTTGGTACGCTCTCGGTTTTGATCCTGTGGATAATGTGTACAAATTGCTTAAAGTCAAAACGCTTGCTAATCGACTAGTCTATGAGATCCTGACTCTTGAAACAAGTTCAAGATCGATATGGATATTGTTAGGAATAAACCCTGTAAAAAATAATATTCACGGTACTAGTGATAAACGCGGAACACTAAGTTATGGTTAAATCAGCAAGAATAAAAATGCATCAATAATGACATCAAGATTTTACGTGGAAACCCTTCTGAATAAGGGAAAAAACCACGGCCAAGAAGAGCAACTGATATCATTATAGCGAGGAATTTTACACTGTGAAGTAACGAGTACAAATACTCCTAAAAACACTACATCCTCAAAAGAAAGAACACTCTTTTGCTTTTTCCACCTCACTACAATATCTCTCACACTCTATTTTTCTTCACAGACTATTTTCTTATAGTCTATGGAATATATTGCTCTCTCTCACTCAGATGTATTGTCTGAGATTTTGGTGTGTATACAAATGAAAGTGGAGACATCTATTTATAGTTGCAGAATGCTCATATTGATGTATGCAGTGACATCAATGTTACTGCAAAAGTCAGCCGCCCAAATCTTTTCTAAATTAGTTGGCTTGACAAAAAAAAGGAGAAGCTTTTCTTCTTTCACATATAGGGCTGGACCCCACAAATCTCCCCCTCCAGTCCCATTCACCCGAAGGAGGTAACACTAGAGATTCTAGTTTGAGTGCATGCCGACAAGTTCTTTGCAAAGCTCGAACTTGTCTCTTGGTACTACCTTGGTTAGCATATCCGCAGGATTTTTACTCGTGTGAATCTTTTTGACCTGCGAAGATTCGTTCTCCACGTGCTCACGAATCCAATGATATATCACATCTATATGCTTTGTTCTTGCATGGTACATGGAGTTCTTGCTCAAGTCTATTGCACCTTGACTATCACAATAGACGACATACTCCTTTTGATGTAATTCCATCTCTTGAAGAAATCGCTTGAGCCATACCATCTCCTTGCCAGCTTCTGTAATGGCAATATACTCCGCTTCAGTTGTAGAGAGTGCAACACACTTTTGGTGTTACAACCCATATCCACATGTGTTAGTTCATGCCATATATTAGTTAACATAAATCCANTTTGGAACTTCGACTGCCATGAGATAGCTCCCCTTGAAAATGTGAACATGTATCCCGTAGTAGATTTACGATTATTAAGATCACCTGCTATATCAGCATTCCTGTAGCCCTTCAAGATTGGATCAGATCCTCCAAAACACAAGCAATCTCCTACAATACCTCTTAGGTACCTGAGTATCCAATTGATTGCTTGCCAATGTTCTTTTTCAGGATTTTCAAAGAATTTGCTAACAACACCGACTGCATGAGCAATATCTGGTCGATTGCATACCATTGCATACATCAAACTTCCGACGACAGAGGAATAAATAATCTTGGCCATTATCTCTTTTTCCTCCATTGTTGTAGGGCACATCTTCTTGCTCAACTTCAGATGACCAGGAAGGGGTGTGCGAACTAACTTAGTACTTTTCACATTGAAGCGCTCCAGTACATGTTCTATGTACTTCTTCTGTGACAAGTAAAGCTTTCTTTCGTTTCTCGAACGAGTAATTCTCATGCCCAAAATCTGCTTAGCATGACCCAAGTCTTTCATTGCAAAAGACTTATTCA